GCCGCCGCCGACGTCGCCGCCGGAGGCCGTCGTCGCCGCTGTCGCCGTCGTCGACGGAGATCCCCCCCCCCTGGCTCCCCCAGACCCAGACCTCCAACGTATTGAAAGAATCAAGACGGCGGTTTTTCTCGATTTTCGGCCTCCAGGGGCCCTCGCTGGGCCCCGGGACCGTCAAACAACGACTCGGGATGAGAATCCGGTCCTGGGGAATGGGTCGAGACTTCGGGGGACCGCGTATTGAAAAAATCACGACGTCGGATCTCTGGGGAGCGAAGCCGGAACGGAAGAAATCTGCGAAAGTCGGCGGAAGCATCGAAGCGGGAGGAGTCCGATCGGGCGAACCCGAGCTCGGAATCGTGGATGGGAATGTGCGCATCGAGTCGGATCGACTCGGCACCCTGGGAAGTCGATGCGGATCGGCCCGGCAGAGTCGGCAAACGCCCTGCATAATCACGGCTCGCCCAACCCTGGAGACACGGAAAGTCACACGTGACGGCCTTCTGTGTCCCATCGATCAGTCGCCACCCAGAATGCTGGGCTGGCACGGCGCTTGGACTTGCCGCAGGCAGCTGAATATTTGGATGCCTACAGCGCGTGCGACCCTCGAAAGAGTGCTCGAGCGAAAGCGAAATCTATGGTGCCACGATCAAGCCTCCTGGACAGCTCCCTTCAGGTGTGAAGCCCACATCGAGCTCCAATGGTGAATACTGAGTTGCGTTATGTCTCCTGGCTCTTGGACTTCAGCCAATAACTTCCCGATCAGGTCTGGCGACAACGTATCTGGATGGGGGATGTAAGTCACCCGAGCTGCTTGATATATGCGCTGGTCGAAACGCGCGTCATGGAACAGCCACGGAGAGCACCCTACTGCAATAGACTCCCAGGTGCGAAAACAATCATAGCCTTTCCCTGGTGGGGAGAGCACGCTCTGGTGCTGACTTATCAACGCCAGGTAATCTGGGAATGACAAGCGTTCGGACACAACGCGCACCACAGTGCTGTACTGCTTATCGCTCAGCACATCAATGAATCGTTCCCGACCTGGAAACCGATGCGGTGGCCTCCAACATCGCATCCAAGGAATCAATAAACGAGGATCTCTCTGTGACCACGGCAAAGAAATTTCCCGCACACGCTTTATCAAAGCCTCGTTATGGCTGCTCATCCGGTTAGGACAGAAGCCGACGGGCAGCGGGTAAAATATATCGTCTCGTATGGGCTTGTGCAGGTTGGTACTGTAGCAAGCCAGGAGCCCTGGTAACTTGATGATCTCGTTCTGGAGTTCCTGTGTGAGTGGAGAGTCGTCACCCGCCAGCACCAGCACGATGGGCACTGTCGACTTCTGGCCGATCGCCTCCAACACTTTGGGCACGCTGCCGCTCTTGATGAAGACGACCAGTGGCTCACAGGCGGCAAGAAGGTCCGACGCCAGCGAAACAATCGGCCTCGCATTCAGGGCGTCTAGATACGTCCTGCCGGGGCGGGATGCCACAGGGCCAGTCCTAAACGGTGTTTTTCGTTTTCGTTGTTCTCGCTTTCCCTCGTCTTGTCTTCACTCCGCCTTTTACCGCAAAACGACATCGAAACGAAAGCGGCCAACGAAGTCGCAAAAACACCGCTCAGGTCCACCCCTGGGATGCCACTGCCCAGAGGGGGGACTGGGCCATGTATGATGGGCCTGTTCTCCACCACCACCACCACCATAAGTAGGAGGGGGAGGGGGTCCTCCTCCTCCTCCTCCTCCTCCTCCTCCTCCTGCTCCTCCTCCTCCCCTTTTCTTCGGCAGGCTACTGGGCGCGCACACCCGAAGCGTCAGACCTCCTCCTCCTCCTCCTCCTCCTCCTCCTCCTCCTCCTCGAGATCCTCCTTCTCTTCCTCCTCCTCCTACCCCCTCCAGCTCATGGCGGTGGTGGCAAACGGGCCCATCCCAATGTACGTCGCGGTCGAGACCAGCCCCAGTGCGCCGCACGCCTCGCCAGCCGGCGCTCCGCGGGACCCGCCGGCGGCGGCCCCGCGGCCGGCGCGCGCCGCGGCGCGGGCCGCGCCGGGGGGGCCGAGGCCGGCGGCGCGCGCGCGGCGGCCGCGCGGGCCGGCGCAGGCGGGCTCGAGCGAGGGGCCGGCCGCAGCCGCCGCCGCGGGGCGCCGGAGCACGCGCCGCGCAGCGCCGGGGGGCGCCTCCGGGCATCCCCGGGCGGCAGGAAGGCGCTGCGCGGCAGGGGCCGGGCTGCCGCTCCAGGGCGGCGCGCCCTCACGGCGGCTCGCGCCGACAGCGCGCCAGCAGCGAGGGCCGCACAGGCGACCAGCGACCGGGCACGGCGGCGAGCGTGGTGCGGGCTCCTGGTGCTCCGCATGCGGTGCCCGACCGTGCACGGCAGGCTGGCGGAGCACACACTGCCCCCCGAAAGCCTGCGGCACCAGCTAAACTTGAACCAGGGAAGATACGGATGGCAAGAAGCACGGGCACAAACAGCATCAACGAAGACCACTGCTCAGCTCGAGCCCAGGGCTGTGCCTGCCGGGGGCCCGGCGGCCTCGAACCCCAGGCGCGGGCGGGGCGGTCTCTGGGCGGGGCGTCGCCGGAGGCGCCGCCAGCAGTGGCCCGGTGCCGATCGAAAGAGGCGGCGCGGGCCTCCGAAAGTTGGTGTGCAGATGATGATGCTGCTGCTGGTGATGATGATGTTGATGATGATAAGTATGAGTTTGATGATGATGCTGCTGATGCTGATGCTGCTGCTGCTGCTGATGATGCTGATGATGATAATGGTGATGATGATGATGATGATGATGATGATGATGATGATGATGATGATGATGATGATGATGATGATGATGATGATGGTGATGATGATGGTGATGGTGATCGTGATCCTGATGATTATGCTGATGGTGATGATATTTCTGAGTTTGAGGATGGTGGTGATGGTGATGATGCTGATGCTGATGATGATGATGGTGATGATTATGATGCTGATGATGATGATTTTGATGATGGCCATCCTGTCTCCTTCTCCTCCTCATCGTTCTCGGCCTCTGCCGCTCTCCCTATTCCCGAGGGGTGCGCGGCGGGCCGTGGCTCCTCCCGCGGGCTGCACCACGAGGGCGAGCCAGGCGGTGCTTTTGGACGAGCGCGCTGCGCTACAGTCGGGGCGTTGACCTAAGGAACCCTAAATAAGGAACGAGGCCCTTTTTTTCCATGAATTAAACTTCGATTTCCCATCGAAAACCTACGGAAAACAGAAGGCAAACTGTGAAACTATTAAGGAACACGGAGCCCCTCCCAAACGAGAAGGGTTCCTTCTTCAGCGCCCCGACTGTACTCGCAGAGTAGCTACTCGCAAATGACCTGGATCCGCCGCGGGGAATCTGCAGTCGGCCCTGACTGGACAGGGCACGCGAGAGGGCACAAGACCCTTCCGAGGGCCACGTCGCCACAGGAGTGTGAGAAGGCACGCGTCGCGAGGCACAGGAAACAAGGGTACCCTTGAGCTGGCAGGGTCGACCTACTAATCCGGGCCGACCGCACGATAAATCACACCGCAGCAGACCCGTGTGTTTCGGACGTGTGCGAGCAGGTGCTCTGCGAGCAGCGGGACCGCGCTCGGTGAGTTTTGGCGATTTCGTGGGCCGTTGTCGTTCTGAAATCTTGCCGTCGCTCGGACGTCCATTTCCCGTGCATGTGCTGGTTTCGTGCGTGTCTTTTTTTGCTCGATGGTCCAGGATGCTCCTCCAGGGGTCCTCGCCGAGAAAAAAATACACACGTCTGAGCGATGCCAGGAAATATGTTTTGCAGAAGAGGCGGAGCGGAGACAGAACGAAGGAAAACGATAGCAGAACGAGGCCCACCCTGGAGCGAGCCTCCTCCGCGGAGCCCGGCAGAGAGCCGTCGAGCCCAGAAAGCGAACCGGAGACCCCGGACACGGGCCTGCCAAACGGGCCCCACGCAGCTGCCCACAGGATGGCCCTCAAGAGGCCCGCAAGGGGAGGGATACGGGGGGGAAAAGGCAGCACAAGGGGGGAGGGCGAGGGGGGAACGAGGCTGCGGACAAGGAGTGGATGCTTGCGCAGACGCGCGCCAGCTCAGGCAGGGCACTGAGCCAGAACGGGCGTTGAAACTCCACCTCCTTACCGCTGCGCTGCTGCGCTGGCACGGTGGCAGGGCTTGCGGCAAACAACTGGATATCTTAGCACATGGGATGTCAAGTCCGACGGCAGATGTGTGACCGCACGCTGTGATCGTTCACCTCTCTTTGCAAACAGCGCCACTCGGGTCAATGTTCCTTGCTTTGCGATGACACGTCATCCTGAAAATGCGCGTTCAGGCAAGTGCGAATCATCTTTTAAGGGTGAGAATATGGACCGTCGAAATTCACCACAACGCGGCCAGCGCGCCATCATGAAACGACCGAACTTCAAGCAGTGCGGCAACGCCACACGAGCCAGCCTGCCAAAGGCGAGCCCACGCAGTGAACAGTTGCCTGGGAGAGACACGGCTGGGCATCCAGCGTGCAAACATCTCCCGAGTCTACTAAGTAGACTCGGGAGACTCTGAGCTCGAGCCAAGTAGACTCTAATTAGCTCGAATGTGGCGCACCGCAGAAATTCGCACTGCCGAGTTGTAGAACAGCTGTGCGTGATGATGCACCCTGAAGATTTATACAAACCGGTTGCGCACATGAGACCGACACAAATAATTACCGCGAATCGGACGTCTAAAGCTGTCGCTTTTCCGCCTCGGTCGGACATGCAGGGAGTCTGCCCGCTCGAGCGGGGAAGGGGGAAGAGAAGGAAGAGGGGGCGGTGGAGGAGGAGGAGGAGGAGGAGGAGGAGGAGGAGGAGGAGGAGAGACGGAGGAGGAGGAGGAGGAGGAGGAGGAGGAGGAGGAGGAGGAGGAGGAGGAGGAGGAGGAGGAGGAGGAGGAGGGGGAGAGAGGACAAGGGAGGTGAGGCCATGAGTTGGGGAGAAGTAAGCAGGGACGAGGGAAGGGGAGAATGGAGGGTGGAGGAGGGATGAGGCGGCAGGGGGAAAGAGAAGGGCAGCTCCCGTGTCTGGCTGGCCTCACTGCGTGTGGAAACCCGCCACGCGCCCTGGCATCAAGCTCGAGACTTCTGGCTGCCTGCCCGCTCGATCGGAGGCAAGTGCTGCAGGCCACGCTGTGGCCACAACAATGGGCAAAGCAGAGCTGGAAGAACAGAGGTGGTCAATCGGGGGTTGCCAAAGGTGCCCCTGGCCAAAGGAGCCCCCGGCTCTTCGTTCAATGTTGGAGCCCCTGGGGCCCTCTGGGCCTTGTGAGGGGTGCTCTGGAGGCCGTGGGGGCCTCATGGGACATCCTGGGGGCACGTTGGGCCAGGGGCACTTCCAGCAACACCCAAGTTGAGGAGACGGGAGACCCGATCGGAACGGAAACCAGAATGATCGGGAATCAACGCATGTAGCGATCGGTCAAGGATCGAAAGCCTTGGCGCGGCCAACATGCTGATCACCGAACCCCTCCCAGGAAGAGGTAGACGACAGATCCGAGCCAACCGCGCTAATCACCGCCAGGATCGACATACCACAACGGCCCACACGGCATCGCGGGATGGAATCCTGGGGCCCTGCGCAATCACAAGGTGCACGAAGAGCCCTCGCAGAGGGCCCTTCAGAGAGCGGCCGTCCCGAGGTCTCCGAGACCTGGCCTCCTGGCTTTGCTACCACGGCGAGGGGTGCGACAACCCCGCGCCATCAGAATCGCCCGAGCCCTTCCCAAATTAGGGGAACAAAAAGGGACATAAACATAAAAACTCGGAGGTCCGCGCGGATTTCTCGGATCGGCGCTGGGGCCCCCCGGCGGCGCCTCCGGCGCCGCCTCTGGCGCGCCCCGCGCGCCAGGGAGGGGGGTCCAACGCCGATCCGAGAAATCCGCGCGGACCTCCGAGTTTTTAAGTTTATGTCATTGTCCGTTCCTCTACTTCCCCAGTTGACCGACCGCGGCCAAGAGGGAGGTTTCCAAGAGGGGGGGGTGCAAATCATGACCGGCGGCATGTGCGCGGCCCAGCGGGGGGGCCAAGGACGCAATGAAATAAGAAGAGGCGCCGTGAAATCTGAGGAAATATCACGGCCCACGCCATGATATCCACCCCCCTAGTCTTAAGTCGGGCCTGTCCCCCTACAGGGGGATTTTCGACGGAAAAAAAATTCCCCAAAAATGCCCCAAGGAGGCCAAAAAATACTCCAAACATGGTCCCCAGACCATTGTTGGACCATCTCTGGACTATTGCTGGAGGTATTCTATATATTTTCGTCGAAAACCCCCCTGTAGGGGGACAGGCCCTTAGGATTCACGTTGAAACGTTAAGAAACATCGAGACTCTGGCCGAAAACTTGAGTTTTCTTGAGCATCGCCCAAGGTGTAGTCATCCCCCCCCCCCTTCTTCCCCGCCCCCGACCGACCGCGGCAGATCCTCCAGAGGGGCGCAGCGAAGCCGCTCGCGGCGAGACCCGGAGCCCGTGCCGCGACGCCCGGCGGGTGCAGAGCGGCGCGCCGCCCGAGCAACTTCCTCTTCCACGCCTCCTCCGCCTCCTCCTCCGCCTCCTCCGCCTCCTCCTCCTCCGCCTCCTCCTCCTCCTCCCCCTCCTCCTCCTCCCCCTCCTCCCCCCCCTCCTCCTCCCCCTCTCCCCCTCCTCCTCCTCCCTCCTCCTCCTCCTCCTGCTCTCAACTTTCTCTTCCACGCCTCCTCTCCTCCTCCACCTCCTCCTCCTCCGCCTCCTCCTCCTCCGCCTCCCCCTCCTCCTCCTGCTCCTCCTCCTCCTCCTCCTCCTCGTCCTCCTCCCTCCTCTCCCCCCCCTCCTCCTCGACCTCCTCCTCCTCCTCCTCCTCCTGCTCCTCCTGCTCCTCAAACTCCTTCCTCTCGCACCTTGACCGCGCGGGCGCAGAAGGACGCGATCCTTAGTCAGAAAAGTGGGCACGATCATTGGAGACATGTCACGAGATTCGCACCCATGCCGCGCTTCCCGTCCCACCAGGGTAGCCGCGCAGAAGTAGTCCGCAAAGACTGCCACTGGAAAATCATGCGCCAGCGTTGTCCGAAATACTATATGTCTGCCCCCGGCCACGGGGCTGTGCACCGAGTAAGTACTCTCCCAGATCACCACACAATTAATCATAGATTTGAGAGTCGCAAAGTTGACGACAAGTTTAACCATCGCTGTCCCATAAGCCTTCTGCACATTGTACGGCCTGAAGTGCGAACAATGAATGCAAACACGAATGCGCAAAAATGAACACAAGCACGTATGCACACGCGAGAAGCAGCAACGACGAAACAAGCGCGGACCGAGACGCAGAACACAGACAGAGAGAAAGAGGCATGGACAGGGCTGAACACACACACACACTCTCACACACACGCGCGCCCCAACACATGGTGTTTCCGTATCTACATGTCAGAAAAAAACGGGGGGGGAGAAAAACAGAGAGAGAGAGAGGGAGAAGAAGACAGGCAGAAAGAGGGCGGGATAGAGACAGAAAGAGAGAGAGAGAGAGAGACAGACAGACAGAACGATAATGGGAGAGAGAGAGAGAGAGATGACAACAACTAAAGAAAAGCATGTAGATGGTGATTATGCATGTATGTGTGTTTCTATATATATATGTATATGCTACTTCTTATCGGGGGAGAGGGCATGCGAGAAATAGAAAAAACAGACAGGGACACACAGATAGCACGGAAGAGAAAGATAAAAAACAAAGCGCACGCAACAACTCGGACGGCAGGTCGTCCGGGCCCGGCGGGGCTTGCGCGCCGCCCGGGCCCACCTCACACCGGCGGGAGGCGCCGCGATACAAACAGGGGTGGGGAAGAAGTTAAAGTTAAAGACGGGGCCCAAGGGGTGGGGAAGAAGTTAAAGTTAAAGTTAAAGAAGGCGCAAGGGGTGGGGAAGAACCTCCCCCCCCTTGGCGCGATCTGCAAGGGACCCCGGCTGGAGTGAGAAACGGCTTCTGTGGCGATCTGAGCGAGCAACGCCCCGTCTGTACCCCCGAGCATAAAGCGCCGGCTTCAAGCGCGCTTATGCGCGTCTCGGTGCCCCAATGAACCATGGCGCCGCCTTGGGGCAGCCCCCGCGGCCGCCCACTGCAACGGCCGCCGAACAGTTGCCATTTGTTCTCGCAGCGCACCTGAGAGAGGAACAGCTATCACTGGTGCGCTAGCGGTGAGCGTCGAGGTGCGCCTGGATGCTTCCCTGGAAAATTACCCCGGCAGATGCGGTCGGACGGAAGTCGGGGTTGCAGGTCCTTCCGGCCGGACTGCGCTCGCTGGAATCTGTCCAGCAGAGGGCCACACAGCTCCTGAATCCTGAATGGTACGTAGGGTCTGCGCACGGTTAGATGCACGTTGCTGCCACGCCGTCAAGCTACCGATGAAAACCGTTATGCTGCGCGGGAGCGTGCCTACGATCCTCTCGCTGCAGTGGTCTTCCACCGATGCCTACTCCCTTTTGGGCGGTAGTCTTCAGTCGGGCCTGTCCCCAACAGGGGGATTTTCGACGAAAAATAAGCAATACCCTCAAAATAGCCAAAACATAATCCAAAAATAATCTGGGGACTATTTTTTGAATATGTTTTGACCATTGTGTGGTATTTTTGGAGTATGTTTTATTTTTCGTCGCAAATCCCCCTGTAGGGGGACACGCCCGACTCAACGGTAGTCCCGTCGCCAGTCCCCGCACTCTGGTGGGAGGGGGAAGCGACCTGGTGGCCAGGCGGATTGGCTGCGAAGACGGGGCCCTGGTGCATTTCCGCTCCTGAAGGCACCGTGCAAGAGCGCCTTTGCCGACACCAGCCTGCGCTTTTGTCGTCGGCATCGTGACCGCTGCTTCTTTGACCTTATGATGGAAAGCAGTGGTTCGCCTTCTGCCTCGAAGTCGTCAAATGGGGCCCCCCCAGGAGTCGCCAAGATCGTCGAAACAGTCCGGCCCTGCTGGGCCTTGCGGTTGCGAGAGGTCGCCAGGTGAGCCTGGTGGCTGGTCGCTTCCTTGCCCTATAGTGGTCGGTCTGGGCTTCATCTTGCTAAGTCCAGCCCTTCAGGAAACCCACGCGTCTGTCTGGCAAGGAAACGCGCGATGGCGACGGTCATACATCGCGAGAGCGGTGCTGCAGAAAACCGCGGCGAATTGCGTCGCCACTTGGCTCCGTTGATGATACCTAGCTGCAGGGTATGCAGACGTGCTCCAGCTGTTGCGAGATCATCGGCGCGGCGGTTACAAGCCTCTGCGATCGGCGCGATTCGGCCTTCATTGTACCTTGCTCGCCGAAATGACTGTCGAATTTGTGGACCTTGTACACATCATTTTTGGTTTGCTTCATACGATGTATGGTTTACCAGAAATCGGCGTGAGTTCCTGGGACTGGTGGTGGCTTTCCTCCGAGGAGGGTATCGAATCCGTCGACGACGGCATTGTTGTCCAAGAAGATGTGTACAGGCCGCTCAGCAGTAGCCACCAGGAGGGGCACGGCGAGGTTCTCAGCGCGTAGTGCGGACTGGGACAAGCCAGGAACCCGAGCTGAATGGTTCAGCTTGTGGTCAGGCCCGCAGTTGACTCCGAAACCAACCTTGGCAAAGAGCGGGTGAAGGCTCCGTCTGTGGCCGCATATGCCCAGCTGGCCCAGTGCTGGTGTCTGTGATTTGCTCGGACAAACAAATCCTCTCCAGAGCCCTTGGGAAAAGGTCGGGGAGTGGGCTTTGGGAGTTCTTTCTGTGCTACGGTGGCCTGAAGGTCCAACATATGAGGGCCTTCTTCAAATAACCCGCAATGCTTTGCGTAAGCCAAGCGGTCTATCCGTTCTTGATGGAAGATCATGGTTTTCAGGGCGGCCCATTCCGACTCCCAACATAGGGCCTTCCAAAACGTGTGTTCCTGAGGCTATTACTATTGTTTGTATCAGTATTTATAGTATTCTTTGGTTGCGTTATCTGCACAACGGTGATGGGTCGGCCAAGATGCCCGAGCGGACATTCCTCTGCCAGGTGTGATCACCACTGCAAAGATTACTGCAGAGGAGGCCGAGCAGTGCTAGCTGCAGTGCGCTGAACTTTGCGTCAGGCTCTTTGTAACCAGGTATTGATGAAGTCGCCAAGACCTTAGTTGACCTCGGCAACAGCGCCGAGGCTTACAGGCCGATGCACTAAAACACGACAGTCTCAGTTAGACATGTTCGAAGACCATTTCGTGCAAACCACAAAAGGTTTTTACAACACTCTCTGATGGGCCTATAAGCAAGCCAGGACGCTTCGACACTGTTAGAGCCTGGCGGAGAGCTGCCCGCAGCAGTGTACCCACGCCGAAGCAGGCAAGGGCCTGCTGCGGAAAGCGAAAAGGATCCCCGCGCTGATCTGCGGAGGCCCGAGTCGCTTGCCGGGCAGCGCAAAGGCCGAGTCGCGGAGGCGGTGGCAGCGCAAAGGCCGGGCGCTTGCTCAGAGCACTTCAAGGTGAGCCAACGGTAGGTTCGCGCGGCGTCGGCGCGCAAAGGTTTTGACACCGCGTCGATCGTGCAACCTTGAGAAAATCGCGGCCCCGACTGTTGAAGGTTGAATTCCGTCGGGTCCAATGGCGTCACCGTGCCCCTCGGTGCCTCCGCCCGGCGTCGCCGGCGCGCCAACGCGGCATGAACCTACTGTGTGGAGCCTGGCTCCCGGCACTCGTTGTTGTTGTTGCTGTTGCTTCTGCTGCTGCTGATGTTGTTGTTGCTGTTTATGTTGTTGTTGGTGGGATTGAACGACTTCGGGGAATTACGTGGTTCCCTCGTGCCCCTCTTGGAAACACGAGCCGCAGCCGGAATTGCGGTTGTGCGCGATGCGGCGATGCACTGCGGATACGCTGAATCTCTCCCCAGAACCTCGCCTGGTCGACACCAGTCGAGTCGTAGACCCGGGTGCTCTCAGGGCTGGCGGTGCATGCCGCGATCGCCACCTGCATAGTCTGGTAGGGGGTCATGCTTGGGAGGCGGCTGCCTGGCTCTGAATAGAAGCACGTTGTCTTCCCCTTGGCTAAGTACCAAGGGAACATGGGCGTGAAGCCCTGCTCCTCCAGCGCAACGTCACGCCTGAACCTGGGGGCGCGGAAGAGATGCTGCAGGAACTCCGTCCTCTTCGCGGAGCACTCGCCCCATGGGTTCACGCAGGTGCACCCTGGGTCCTTCGGGCGGGGGGAGGAGGAGGAGGAGGAGGAGGAGGAGGAGGAGGAGGAGGAGGAGGAGGAGGAGGAGGAGGAGGAGGGGGGGAGGAGGAGGAGGAAGAGGAGGAGGAGGAGGCCTGGCAGAGCCAGAATCGGATGGGATGCCTTGGGCACGGAGGCAGCTCTCCCGACTCGGAGGCCGCGGAGGTGCTTCTGGGAAACAACTGCTGAGTCCAGTTACGTCAGGCTCGTGTCGTGCCGACTTCGGCGTTGGTTTCTGACGCCGCGGGGATCGCTCCACTTCGAACGATCGGCCGCATCCGAAACGTCCAAGGCGTTCCACACCGAACGACTCTGGGTCGCCCGCGGCGTTCGGAGCAGAAGGCCGCTGGCGCACGCGGCCTCGGCCGCCAGGTCCCGGCTGCACGCAAGAAGGAGCAGCCGTCCGTCCCCGCCACGAGTGGTCTCTGGGTGCGCGGCTCTCCGGGGGGCGCTCCTCCTCCTCCTCCTCCTCCTCCTCCTCCTCCTCCTCCTCCTCGTCCTCGTCCTCGTCCTCGTCCTCCTCCTCCTCCTCCTCCTCCTCCTCCTCCTCCTCCTCCTCCTCCTCCTCCTCCTCCTCCTCCTCCTCCTCCTCCTCCTCCCCCTGAGGCCCCTGGCCGCGCCCGTGCGCCCCGAGCTGCGGCGCGGCCCGCCGAGCGGGGCGCCCAGAGCGCGCCAGCGCCACCCCTCGCTGCGGGTCCCAGGGCTCGTAGAGGGCGCGCGCTGGCCCGGGGGGGTGGGGAACCAGAAAAAATATATTTTCTGAGTTTTCAACCTGGTTTTTAAGAAAGCTCTCCCCTCGTCACACAAGCACTGATTTGTGTAAAGAGCTCTGCGAGGCTTCTGGCGGTAACCTGGTTGACGGTTTACCGCCGGCTCCCAGTTTGGGTCGGCTGGAGGTAGGCGGGGGGAGGCCGAGCGAGGCCGAGCGCGGAGGCGGAGGAGGCCCGTCGAGGCCGAGGAGAGAGGAGGCGGAGGAGCAGGGAGAGGAGGCGGAGGAGGCCGAGGAGAGGAGGCGGAGGAGCAGGGAGGGTAGGCGGCGGAGGCCGAGCGGGGCCGGAAGCCGGCAGCGAGAGGCGGTCGGCCTGCATGAGAGGCGTGCTGCGCCTCAGCCTCGGGAAAGGACGCTGCACCGCGTCCAGGCAGTCCTCCAGCTCCTCCATCTCCCCCTCGCTGAGGTCCCGCACCGGCGTCGTTCGGCCTGCTGTCCCCCCTTCCCTTGCGGGCCCTGGAGAAGAATGAGCATTTGTTTATTTCTTCGTCGTCCCGTTGTTTTCCCGCTTCCCTGGTGGAGGCCAGATTCGAAGCGTTTTTCCGAAACGGTTCCGAACGTGCTTCGGCCCCTGGGACTGGCCGATGACTAGGAAAACCAAAAGGGGACGAGGACGATAAGGGAGGGGGGGGTGAGGCGACGGAGGAGACCAGGGAAGGATGGGGGAGCAGAAAGATGAGGAGGTGAGGGATGCGGGTGGGTGGAAAGGGGGAGGGAACGGGAGCGTGGGTGTCGGTTCCGACGCAGGACAAGGAGAAGATGAGGGATTCTGGTGAGAATGAGGATGAAGAGGAGCAGAGAAAAGGGAAGGCAGAGGGATGAGGAGAACGACAAGAAGGGAGCGAAGGGAGGGGGAGGAGCAGGTGGGGGCCTCTCGAGCTCTCGGGGCCAGTCGAGGACCATGAGAAGGGGAAATGGGGGAAAAGAAGGAGGGAGAGGGATACGAGAACGAAAAGGCCTCTGTCGTTCTCGGAAGGAGAGAGGGATGAGGACGAGCAGTAGGGAAGGGAAGGCGATATCGCGATGACGGAATTCGGCCCCAGATCGCGCCGCATCGCCGATGCATCGGCCATGCGGTCAGACCTGGAGGAGCGGTTACGCCAAGTAGCCCGACGTGTACATCAAGTTAAGAGGCTTGGCTAACTGCTCTCACAACAGTGATGCAGTCCTACGCCTGGAGGGGGGGGCGCGTAGGACCCTGAGTTCCCATGCATGCGAACGCTGCAAGGACGTCCTCGTTCGAGGTCACGTGCAAGCTCTACTTTTGTACCTTGCAGGTACAGGGGAACGAACAATGGCATAAACATAAAAGATCGGAGGTCCGCGCGGGTTTCTCGGATCGGCGCTGGGGCCCACTGGCGGCGCCTCCAGCGCCGCCCCTGGCGCGCTCCGCGAGCCAGGGAGGGGGTCCAGCGCGATCCAAGTAATCCGCGCGGACCTCCGAATTTTTTACATATATATATAGAGAGAGAGAGAGAGATAGAACAACAAAAAAAACACATCACTCATCGTTTCCCTAATGCTTCCATGTGCCCCTCTGACACCTGCCGTGCCCGCCCGAAGCCCGTCCACGCGACAGTTGCAACGGCCCAGCGTCGTCAAAAGAGTCTGGCAGTTTCGCGACCTCGCTCTCCGTGGTCCTGGGGCATGCTCACTCAATCGCATCACTCGGCAATGTTGGGGTGACGACAGCGGAAATAAGTGGGGCCGTTCGACCGCAGGAGAGGGCGAGAGCGAGAACGAAAGGAGTGAGGGAACTATCAGATGGAAAGGGTTGGTATTCTTTTGCAGTGTATGCATAAGCTGATGTTCACACAAAAACACATACTAAGTAAACTCGTACCACGCGCGCTTCGTGCGCGCTTAGGTTCTAGCACGCCCCAGACATCGACAACAACACAGCTGTACAAGTGCAAGGCTATACGGTGTCTACTTGAAGTGAAGAACGACGACAATGACTTGGACATCCTCAGATGGGTAGGGAGGGAAGCCTCACCACAAGCCCCTCCATCTTGCCTGCTCCTCCCCGTCCCTCATTACTCCGGCCCCCATCATGGCCCATCCATCGCCTTTACTACGATCTCTTTCTTCATCACTAGCACGACTGCGATCCGCGTTCTTTCAGTATCTGGGTATCTGGAATTCTCTTGCTTCATCACTAGCACGATCGCGACCCGCCGCGTTCTTGCTATATCTGGAAAAAACACGAAGGGACCATGGGAAGAGAGGAGAGGAGACAGAAGAAGGGAAGATGGCCGGCATGGGGGTGGTAATACAGTGGGGGAGCCAGAGCGGTGAGGATGTTGGAAGGAAGGGGAAGGGGGGGGGCGGCGGCAAAAGGAACGAGCAGGGGGGCGAGAGGGGGGGGGGGGAACGGGGGGGGGGGAGCTGGACGTGGAACGGAGGCGAGGGGGGTAGCGAGGGGGGGACTGGTGAGCGAGGGCGGGGAGCGAGGGGGGGGATGGGAGCGGGGGGGGGAGCGAGGGGGGGGGGCAAGGGGGGGCGGGGAGCGAGGGGGGGGATCTGGACGTGGAACTGAGGCGAGGGGGGGAGGCGGGAGGCGAGGGGGAGCGGGAACGGGAGCTGGACGCGGAACGGAGGCGAGAAAGCAGGCGTATCCTCAACCAGGCCGCGCGAAGCCCGTGCCAGTAGGCCACGCCGCAACTCGGCATCTCGCCACGTCTCGCCCTGGCCGCGGCCCCGCCCCGCCGACCCCAGCGGCCCCGGGGCCGACTGCCCCGCCCTGGCGCGGCGCCCTTCCCAGGCCTGTCGGCGTCGTTGCCGTCTCGGCCGCAGCTTCGTCGCCGGCAGCCGCCGGCCCTCTCGCCACACCCCGCTGCCTGCGCGCGCTGCCTTCTGCCCCCCCCCCCTGGTGAGCTCCCCCCCGGATCTCGCGCCCTCCGCCTGCTGCCTCGCGCCTCCTGCCTGCCGTGCCCGGCCAGCCCCGCCCAGCGCGTCCGTCGCCGCTCGCCTGCGTCTCCGCGCCGCGCCAGCCCCCCTCGCAGGGCCGCAGCCGATGGCCCCGGTGGGGTTTCCGCCCTGGTGCTCGAAGCCTCACTTCTGCAGCACCGTTTCTGCCCGCGGATGCCCGGAGGGGCATTGCCCGACCCACGTCTGCTGCTGCTGCTGCTACTCCTCCTCCTCCTCCACCTCCTCCTCCTCCTCCTCCACCTCCTCCTCCTCCTCCTCCTCCTCCTCCACCTCCTCCTCCTCAACCACCTCCTCCTCCTCCTCCACCTCCTCCGCCACCAACCCCCCAGCGTCTTGGTGGCCGTTCCCCTTCGCACCATAATGGATTTGGGCTGCTGCGGCACAGGCCCACGAAGGTCGCTGCCGAAGAACCGCGCACCGATGTGGGACAAGCGACGTCCTCACGGAGCAGCTGCCCTAAGATGCGCGAGAGCAAAGACACAGTAGAGTGGTCGCGGCAATAAAGCAGCGCACCGTGCCCGCACTGAGTGGAGTGTCGCCAGGCTCGATCGAGTTACCTGCCTTGGACGTTGAGAAACTATAGCCGAATGAACCCAAGCCGCCGAGTCCCAGGGAGTCCTGGGCGTTCCCGGGCGCTCTTGGGGCTTATCGGATGAACTGCCCAAAAGCATCGGGCGCGTGGCTCGGACTCCAACCTGCCAACATGCTCTAAGACTGTCCTGTGGGGCCGTCCTGGGGCTGTCCCGGGGCGCCTCTCGGGCAATATCCGGGGCCTTGGGAGGGAAGGGAAGCGAGAGGACGACGCCTTAAAAAAACAAGACTTCGGGACAATCTTTTCGCCAGCTCGCCTTGCCCCAGTGACGCCCCGAAGAGAAGCCCAACGTGCCCCCAAGGATGCCCAAGACGCCCAGGATGCCCAAGATGCCCCCAAAGATGCCCCCAAAGATGCCCAAGGTGCTCAAGATGCTCAAGAGGAGCCCAGCATGCCCCCAAAGATGCCCAAGGTGCTCACGATGCTCGAGAGGAGCCCAACATGCCCCCGAAGATGCCCAAGGTGCTCAAGATGCTCGAGAGGAGCCCAACATGCCCCCAAAGATGCCCAAGGATGCCCGCGGATGGGGGCCTCGCCATGCCTCCTGCAGCCGTTCCCGAGACGGCCAGCGGGCGGCCAGGGGGCGCCCGGGAGGCCGCCCGGGAGCCGCCCGGGGAGCCCCAAGGAGGCCGCCAGGACAGCCTTCAAGGCCACCACTAGGGCGTAGTCAGGGGGCCACATGCGAACCCTACCCCTACCCCCCACGATTTCTGAGGGGGAGGGTGGGGTTCACTTCGCTCGGGAGTGCCGAACGAAGTGAACCCCACCCTCCCCCTCAGAAATCGTGGGGGGTAGGGGTAGGGTTCGCATGTGGCCCCCTATTAGTGGGCCCTGGAAACGAAAAGGCCGTTTTTTGACCGCTTCCGTTTTGCCGTTTTTGTTGCCGGTTCCGACGCCGCTGTCTTACCGGTTCCGTGGCCGTTGTTTGACTGGTTCCGGCTCCGGTTCCAATCCTGGAGCCGTTTTGTTGCCGTTTCGGGTCGCCGTTTTTTTGCCGTTTCCATTTTTTTGCATTTTTGGGGAAACAGTGGAAACAACGGCCCTGCCGCTTCCGCGGCCCAAAGAAGCGTATATGCGAGAAAAGCGACTCCTCTTGGGAGAACAGGAGATGCTGCTTTGCGAACGTGCGGGCACGCAGGATGCCCCGCGAGCATTCCCTGCAGCGCCACCACGCAGACGCCATCGACCACCCTGGCTCCGCCTGTGCCCTCACGCTAGATGGTGGTGGTGAGTTTCCCGCCCCCGGAGATGCCCCCAGCAATCTGAGCCCGCGCTGCAGGAAGCAGGAGGGTGACGGGGAGGGGAAGGATGGGGAGGAAAGAGAGGATGATACCGTGGAGGGGAAGGGGGGACATGGAGTGGAGAGGGGGGGGGGAAACCGAAGCAGAACCTGTCGGCATTTTGATATCTCCGTTGCTGGGCTCCCTGGGTGCGAGCGCAGACCCCCCTCGCAGTTCAGAGACGAGGGAGCTGCATGCCATAGTTCGGCGGCAAGCCTCAGCACGCCCTTCTCAAATTGCCCACCCTCGTGGCCGAGATGGGAAAACAAGGCTTGGCAAGTTTGGCAGGGGGACGCTGACACAATATTTTTGCCGCAGCTCCTGCAACATGAGGCCCTGGCACCCGCTGGCACAGGGATGCGAAACAGTGGCCCCGCACTGGCCCTGGCCTCCAGTCGCGGTCCCAGTCGGCGACCCATTGCCCCCAACGGGACCCAACTCCAGCGGCCCAGGGCAAGCCGCAGGGAAACTCTGGCGAGTGTCCATTCCAAGGCAGGCAGCCTGCGCTTGCAAGTCTGGCACGTTTACGGCGTGCCGACTCCAACGATGCTATGACCAACCTGGGGCAGCCTTTATTTCCTAAGCCCACCGATAGCCAAACTGCCGCGCTGCTCGTGCATCTCTCGGCCAAGACGCCCTTCTCTCTCTCTCTCTCTCTCTCTCTCCCGCGAGGACAGGTGAGCGCAACATGCCTGGCAATAGCCAGGAGTCTTTTCAAAACTTGCATACAATTCCAAATCCACAGCCCCGACGTCTCGTACAATGCAACGATCCAATCGCAATTGAATGTTTTGTCCGCGTCGAGAACTGACATATGCTGCAGGGTTGTATGCTGCTCTCGCGCCAACGACTCTTGCGAAATAGGGGGTCGTGCAGCATGGCAACCGTGCTGAACCCCGCTGGCCTTTCATCAAGTTCAGCAACGATCGCGCCGACGACATCCTGCGCGCTGCATTCCCACAGTACCCTGTAACAAACGCGAGCAGAGCTTTTTCATGCACGTGCTATATTATGGGGGACTGCATGTGCGTATGGGATGCAACACGCACGCGTACATGAAAGTAGACATGCCATGCGCTGGTATGAACAATCTGCATCCGCCCGATACGGGGGCAGGATGGCAGGGCAGGCTTCGCATCAACATGAAAAGAGCATCCGCACGCACTTCAATTATGGTTCCACGCGTTCCACATTCGCTGGCAAAAGAAACTGGTACGGGACAGCAGCGAATGAAAAGAACGGTGGTGAGGTACGACAGAGGCGAGCACACACGCAAGCAAAAACCTATTCGCACATGGGAGCGAGACAGAGGCGGGGAATCATGCGCTCAAGCAGCCAGGCACGCACGCAAGGAGGCAAGCAAGCAGGCAAGCAATCGTACAGGCGAGCATGCAAGCAACCATGTCCTCGTGCAAACAACAACACACAAGTGCACGCAAGCAAGCACGCAACTGCACAAATCCTGCATGCAACAGCGTTCCAGAAAACAGTGCGAATGTCAACACAAGAATTCAACGGGAGCCCTGCTGGAAGATTATGCGCACACCGATGGATTTCTGATTTGGAACCATCTCGTCATGATGAAGCGCGACCGTCGGAACATATCATGCATGCGTTCAAGACATCTGCCAATAACAGTGCAACACTACTTTACACTTCTACAACGGAGCTCTCGCAACACAGATAATCATGACGGCGGGGTTCCGTCAAACAGTAATTCCGTGCAGAGACATTGCGAATCGAGATCCGAATGGGGGCCATACCTGTCTAGGTACTGGCCCAGAGTGGGAGGATAGTCGAGCCCATGCATTTTGAACTGAGAACTCATGCGCGAAACCGGATTGGTGAGATTCGGCTCAACTCGAATTCGATTTACGCACTTTTGGAATGCAGAGCCCTGTATAAATGCGTGTGCAATGCAATTCAAAGGATTTTCAAGTACGTTCCCATGAACTTTGCTGCATATCAAATAAGACATGCCATACGAACTCAATATCGCATCGACATACGCTTAACTTAATTGAAGCGCAGCTCTCAACATATATCCAATGTTGCCGAAGTGCGAACCAAGTTAGAATGTCATGCGATTTGCATCCAATAGCGCTGCATTTCGAGCCTGATGCAGTCGAACGTCGATTCTGCCTACATTCGTTTCTCATTAGACTTTCAAGTCTATCTCAATGGTCATTCAAACGGAATTCCACTGCAGGCCTCCTTTCAATCTAATTCTGTCCACATGTCATACGGGTGGAACTGCGTGGCTGTTGAAACCAGCTTCAAAGCGGCACCGAGACGCCACGACATCGTGACACCGCATTCAATTCGAACTCCGATCAGAAGTTGACTCGGGCAAGGTTCAAGCACAGCTCAAAAGCAATCGCAAAACGATGTACTTCAAAGCGATGTGTAACTTGTTGTGTATTCAATATGATGCCGGTCTGCACGTTCCAGGCCAGATTGGTCAACACTCACTTCTGCCAGTAAGACCCGCAACCATGTGGATTTCGAACTCACTTCACCATCCAAATCATAGCTGCACCAACCCAACTGGCCGCCCCACACATTCAAGCCAGCCAATGTTTGCATCAGCGCAAGTTCATATGAAACTCAATCTCGCTACACATCCAGCACAACTGCAATTCACTACCAAAACGACCCTTATCTATCTTAAACCTCACGAGCCCAGCTTCAAGCTCATCCAGCGCAGAGCTCATCCAACATCTGACATGCGGCAAGCTGGAATTCAACTTGATACGCAACGCAGGATTGCTTCCAACTCGAACCACGTTTGATGCAGGCGCACTCCACGATGCCACCGAGAGCGAAACATCTGTCCGTTTGGCGGCGCGCCCAGCGGGAGAGGCAGCGGGGGCGGGCCGTCTCAGACGGCCCAGGAAGCCTCCTGAGCAGCTCTCGACCCCTTCTCCAGAGCCACGGAGGGCTTCTCGGAAGGACGGAGGGCTTCTGACAAGCCCCGCCTCCTTCCGAGAAGGCTTGCACCCTCTCGCCTCCCCCCTCAGCGCGCCGCCGGATCCTGGGCTGTCTGCACCGGATCCTTAGCATAATCTCCGGGCTTGCCTGCACTGCACAACAACATGGCCGTGAGCGGCTTCGCCATCGCATGCCGTCGAAACAAGCGTACTTTGGTGTGTGGCCGACGCATGGAGTCGTCCATGGTGCAGACTGCACGGGGGCAACGGCCAAGGCCTCCTCCATGTCAAGGTGCCTCTACACGCGTATGCGTGAGAGCACGGATGTGCAGCACACGGCGGGCGCTCGTTGGATACGAAATCCTGCGTCCCAAGGTTGCTGGATGGATGGCCTGCCTGAGAGAACTCGTCGAACGTCGTCGTCGTCGCATCGACAGGATAAAGCATGCCACAAGGTGGTGCCCACAGGCAAGCCCTCACCGAATGTTTCCGTCGCGTAAACTTAGAATGCCACCTTGGAACCAAAGACCTTGCCTGGACCTGAAAAGAAGTCACGCGGCAAGCTCACGGCATCTTGAGAGAAGGCAGATAACAATTCTCTCCGCAGTCGCACTCTCGGGTCGGGCGAAAGGGGGGGATAGCAAAGGGGGGGGGTGAGAATCAGCTCACATAGCTGATTTTCTGGGCGCCTCCCGGCGCCGGAGGCGGCTATGTATCGAGGAACGGGCCCCTCCGTGGGGCCGAAACCAGCTGCAAGCAGCAAATTTCGTACCCCCCCCTTTCCCAATCCCCCCCTTTCGTCCGGCCCGACACTCCAGCTACCAACTCGGACACTCCAGTCAATCTTCGAGAATGCTGCGCAGTGGCTCGGGAGCGAGTCGCGCCGCAGCCCTGCTCCCCATCCGAGGGTCGGGCCTGGAGGAACTGCCAGACCTGCCGGACGGTGGTGGTGGTTCACGACCAGGGGTGTGGGGGGGGGTCCTGGGTCCCGAGCTGGGACCAGAGGGGGCTCCCGAAGGGCGCAAACTTTGGAGAATGCATTCTCCCCCCCCCCCCACCCACGTTTCCAAGCTCCCGCACTCCAAAACTCAAACCCATCTCAGATCACCCTTCAAACCCTGACCTCGGAAACTGGTCTACACACCACGCACACTACTTGCTCAGGAGTGGCTGAATGTGGAGGGCTGGGCCTCGCAGCCAGTATCAGATCGACTGGGAAGTTCTTCTGGGCGACGGTCTGGTAGGAATCCCACCAATCACTCCAGTAGCAGATGGTTTAGAGGGTCATCTCTTCCGACCCCCTTGTTCCTCTCCGAGGAAGGGGGCAGGCCTCTTTGAAAGGGCCCTGGGACACACAAATAAATACACACAAATAACCGGATTCCCAATATTTTCCCACATGTCCTGGGTTTTCGCCTTCCCCCCCACTTCCCATATTTTCCAATCTTTTCTGGGGAATCGACGATGCATTGTGCCTGTGTGTTTTCTTCCCTCCTGCCTCTTGAGGGCTTCTTGGGGGGCCTGATGGGGGCCTGAGGGCGTCTCCTTGGGGGGCATCCTGGGAGTGTCTGGGGGGGCTTCCTGGGGCGACCCGGCTGCCGGCCGCGGCCACGATCCTCTTCCACGACCAGCGCGTACTCTGGACTTTGGACGGCCGAAAGGGGTACGGAAAGAATGGGCACAATGCCCAACAGCAAATGTTGTCCCGAATCAAGAGGGCCGCTGTTTGGCAGGCGGCCTTCTGTCTCAAATGGACACAATTCGCGGCGACGCCGAAAGCGAATCCTGTTGAGCATTGTACCCATTCTTTCCGTGCCCATCTCGTCCGTGCAGATGGACAGCGCTGGGGAGCTTCTCGGCGAGGGGGGCTCTGGGACCGTCTTCGGGCAGTCTTTGGGACGCCTTTGGGCCGTCTTGAGGCTATTCTGTTGGGCCGTCTTGGGGCGATCTCGGGGGTCTATTCCGAAAGGCGAGCATGCGAAAACCAGACCACCGTAGAGGAATAAGCGAGTCTCGCCGATTCAGGGCCTCTCGGAAATCATCTTGAAGCCAGCTTGGGCCGTCTTGAATGAGGGAG